ACCAAAGACAGCAAAAAGAACACGTGTTCAATGCGTCTAACAGACGTTTCATTGACTTTATCAGTACCTGACCATTGCTTCATGTGGATGGATGACAATAAAAGCAGACTATGACTGAAGACATGCTTAGGAGAACACATGGGACAACTGACGTTGTCCATACAAGATCTTGTGCTTCTGCTTTGTACATCCTGAAGTTCCCACCTAAACTGTAAGCATCTTGTTTCAGAATGATTTAAGGCAGTAAGAGAGACATGATTCCACCTTACTCTGTTGTAAGCTGCTGCTCCCCAACTGTGGGAGTTAATCCATTAACCCTTCAGATTAGACTCACACAGCCTTTATTTACAGTGATTGTATAAAGGAAGCAGATGGCTTACTTCATCACAGACTTGTGACTTGTCATGTCAGCCATATGAATGAGACTATGACCATGCTCCCATAGCCAGGCTTTTACAAGCATGCTGTTACTACCAAACTTTTAATAACTTGTAAGGACTTCAGTGTTGGAACTCTTGTCCTGACATTTCATCTTGCAGATAGGCCAAATATAGCACATCTGGAACTGATCGAGCCTTCTGGTGTGGCATAGATTTGCCGTTGCTGCCTCACAGCCACGTTGGAGTGCTGAGAGCATGACAGCACAACAGACATTAAGCTCAGTGCTTAGTTTCATGTCCATGGGCAGTATGAGACCACTCATGTAGTGGATAATCTCATCTTCAAGTCATGGTGTTCTGTGACAGCAATTTACCACAGTAGTAAAATTTCTACCAGATTGTTAACTGTTTACTGCAACTGGGCTCATCCCTCAGCACAGGCTGACATTCCATTTTATATAAAATAATTGTTGAAAACAAAGCTGCCTAAAAGCAAAATAATCATCAAATTGCAGCCTCTGCATAACAATATGGAAGTGTTACAGGCAGAATGATTTTTCATTGGCACAAAACAAAATAAATACTGTCAAATCTTTCATAATATGAGCATTAGCACATCCAAAAAATCGATAATAAAAAAAATAATTCATCATTAACAACAAAAACATACAGAAAAGATGGTGAGAATCAGCACAGAATCTTTTGTGACAAGAAAGGATTTTCTGTTACTTCGGATGCCATTCAGTCACCAAAGGACTGCGAGATAGACAGCTTGGTTGGAAATTCAAAGTTAAACAAAAGTCTTGCCTCACAACCTATTGAGCTGAAAAATAAAATAAAAAAGCTTGAATTAGATGGATGAATGTCACAGAAGATCACAGTTTTTCTGTAGCATTTTCTCTGAAATTGGCTGACACAAACAGTAAAGTCCCTCAATGGAAGGTACTTCTGAAATAATGAGAGGAGACGCCTAGATCCTTCCAACACTTTTGACTGCACAAGAAAGTGCCATTCTTCTTATAGCTATTATTGCCAAATTTACTCAGGCGAAAGAAACAGACCAATAATTTAAATGAAATTAGATAGTCCAATATAGGAGATAGAGGGTTTTTGCTTTCCTAGCATGAAAACATCTCTTCTGAGCAGAAAACCTTTTCCACTAGACTCCCTATGCTGCCTCTTTCTCTCTGTGAAGCAACTATTTGTGAACAGGTAGCCATCATCCAGTAACGCAAACAGAGATATCAACAGAGTGAAAGATACATGTGTTGTTCTTAAAATAAATCTAGACAAGCTGGACCACTGAAAGAGCATGCTCATTAGACATAAGACTCAAACCCACATGGGTCCATATTGTTGCCATTACCAGAACCACATCCAGACCTTTTCTGAATTTTATCGTCATCTTAGAGACATATTTCTCAGTAAATTTCATGGGCTAAATTGGGAGCACAAAACCGTGATTCACATACAACATCTTGTCAGTGGTAAAAGGACTTGGAACAAAAGGACTTGGGAAAGACAAATGTCTCAAGTGTATAAACATTTTAGTTAGATCTTAATAAACAGTTATTTGCTGGGGAGTTGGTGTTAATCTCTAAATGTAAGTGGACCTCTTCAGTTATTTGGAGATGCTGGGTCCATCTCTGTTCTGATACTGTGGTCCCAACCACTATCATATGTACTTCCCATTCATTAAACATGCAGGAATGAGAAAGGAAGAGATTTAGGTACCAAGACCACAAATTACTGCATGTATTCAAGGAAGATCACTGAAGAAAGGGAAGCTGAACAAAGAGCAACAAAGAAAGTGAGGGTAGTAAGGATATGTCTCCATATTTCAACTCTTTTTTCTTCAACCAGGAAAGATACAATTTGATCTCTTATCCACCCAGTCTGGGATAACACCTGAGGTCGACTTCCATAGCAGCACGAGAAGTGTCTACACTAGCACTGTGACTAGGAGCAGGAGTGTCCCTTTGCAGAAACTCCCCATTGTCCCCACTCACTGCAATTCAGCAGGCATCAAAGAGAAGTTTCATGGTTCATGAATTGGACGAAACCAAACAAGAAAATGCATTTCATGAGTGTACTTACTGCACTCCAGTTGTAAATAAACCCATGGGACCAGGCTGCACTTGGCATGAAACAAGTCCCTCTGAGATACATCACATCAGGTCCTCCAAAAAACTGTTTTGCTCTAAAGAGCTATTCTCACTCATCTGCACTACTTTGTTAAAGTAAGCACTGCCACAGAACACCATTTAGAATGGGTGCTTACAAAAATGTTCTGAAGAGGAAGCAGGGAGTTCAAAGAGCAAAGAGATCACAGTAGCTTGATATCAAACAACTTTTACTGATAGTAGCAAGCATATGTTGTTTCGAGCTCAGCTTCTTTCTGCCAACCTCCTTTGGTTGCCAAGTAAATGGTTCAAAGAATGCAAAGAGGCAGCCAGGCCAGGTCCAGCCAGACCCTTAATCTGAATGCCAAGATGGTTAACTTCCCAGAAAATCCATGCTTTCAGAAAACTGAAATAGGCAGCATACACCTGCAAATACCTACGTTATAGTTGTCTCCTCTCAGGAGACTCTAAAGACCATGGTTGTTAGCGGTATTGGGATTACTCCACTGGGCAGATGTAGCTTTTATTTTGGGAATTCCTGGACAGGAGCTTCTAAAATAAAAGCTACTAAAATAAGTCAACAATTGGTAGGTGAACATATTCATTTTACAGAAGTCTGAACTTCCTGAAGAAAAGAAAGGGTTATTTCCTTACTCGAAGGAAATAGGCCAGGCAAATAAGAATCATTTAATTGATAGGGGAAAGAGAAGGAATATATATATATTGTTAAATTAAAGAGAAAACCCTGAATTTGATTGAAACATTGCTAAATATGTTAGGTACAAAGCCCGTGCACCAACCAAAGGGCTCTTCTGAAGCTTTTCTTCCTGCTCTGCCCTATATGATTTTCAGGAAAACAAACAAACAAAAAAACCAACATGACTGAGGCACTGAAACATTCTAATCATCCACTTAATCTATCTAATAATATCTAATATCTAATAATCTATTTATCTGTAATATACTTCTTCTTATAAACAATTATATACCTATGTAATTGTGTACATACAACAAAAAATAGTTTACCACCCAAGATGTTCTTTCTAGCCTGTAAGACAGAGATTACTGATCATAGCTGAAAAGGTTACCTAGATCTGGGCTCTGTTTCCAGCTGTTATATTAGACATCATCCACCAGGCTTCCTTTTTGATAGGTTCTTTAGGGCTGCTTAGCAAATGCAGTAAGCTCTACAGGGCAGAACAGTTCAGAATTACCTGGGTTCAGATATCAGTCATCTCTCAGATGCAATTTAGAATTATTTAATTTTATAATGATCCACAGACTGTGTGTGTGTATGATGCTAGAGAATGACAAAAGTAGACTAAGCTCAATAAAAACTTGCTTCAAATAATTTGCCCCATGCCTTTGACAATCATGATACAGAAATCCTTCACTAAGAAATGAGGAAGCTACAAACTTTGACAATCAAATAACTTCGGATGTTTCTTGATTTCACCACCAGCTATGGAACAACTACATTGTAAATACTTTCTTTAGTCATAATTATATATTCTTATAATTACTAAAACTGGCAGTTGTACTTAACCAAATCTAAAATTGGATTTTTATTAAATTGAACAGTAGGAGAGGATATGTAATATGTTGCCCCCCCCCCTCCCCCCCCCCCCCCAAAAAAAAAAAAAAACAAGAAAGAAAAAAAAATAGTATTGAAGACGTATGAATACTCCTATTTCCTCTTTACTGCAAAGGAGATGTGTTGAATGCCAGTACCAGGTGTTAGGTGAATTGAGTATCGTATGTGTATAAAGACCTTAAAACTGTGTTTTGTCTTTTGAATACATGGTCCTGTCTTTGCTACTGGAAAATGAGAGGTAAAAAGTAGATATATTAATGTTAAAGATTTTCAGTATCTCCATGAATACTATGCCTGTTTCTCCTGAAGAACGAATTGTGGGACCTTTGCTCTAATCCAATCCAAGTGTCACAGCAAAACACTTAATGACAATGCTGGCATGCAGTGCTAAGTGAACAAGGCTGTGTTGAGGAGAACTACAATTGGAAGGGGTATTTGCTTTTCATAATGTTATCTGCTCTAACTTACAATGCCAGAGCTTGAGATTTTGTGTGAAAGAAAGATCATTAAAAAGTGGAGATCTACTTCAGCTGAACTGTCCTGCTCTTTAGTCTATGAAGTCCCACTCACTAAATATAGCTAAACTCGTGACTTTAGCTATATTTAGTACAGACGACATTTTAACAACTTCTATTCATTTGCCTTTCACTTTCCCTTGAATATATTTTGTTTGGACAACACAAAAAGTAACAAATCCAGCTCTCTGTTATTTATTTTAATTTATTTTACCATCTTCGTCCTTTTTTTTTTTTTTTCTTCTTTACTTTCTCTGCTAAGATTGTGCCACAGAAAGGGGATAAAAAGATTGCAGAAGTCAAGTACGTCAAGTTCTTTGGTAACTCGGGTTAAAATTATGATACAAGCAGAAGAGAGTTAAATGAACCCAATAAGCCTTCATCTTGACATTAATGAATAAAAATAATTGTGAATCGTGTGTTAATTTTTTGTCTTATTTCCCATGCAGACTGATATATATACGAATCTGTTGTGAAACACTGGCCAAAGTCTTACAAAACCACCTGAATATGCACAGCAATAACTGTGCATAACTGTTCCTGAAGTACTACACCTATTTTAAAACCAGAGACTATTTATGAACACACTTATTCTTTTCAGAGGACTTGTCTACATTACATTTAGTTTCCCCTCATTCTCCCCATCTACTCTGCTCCTCTAGTCTTGACTAACTTTAGAAACTAGCATCAAGTTCTTGCCTCATGGCTCTCTTTCTTCAGATCCTTAACAAATACAGGTCTCAGTGCAGATTCCTAAACACTCAGAGCACAACCTCATGTTCTGCAATATTAACTAGTTATTTCTGAATCACCTCACCATGATAATTAAGTAAATTAAAACTGATCATATTTATTTAAGAAGTCTGTATTATATAGAGACCCCCCATTTTTCCAACTCAATAATATATGCCTACAGTCCCCCATGACAAATGCTACAGGCATATAATGGTTATGAGCTCACAGAATACAGAGCTCAATTTACATTACAGTATAGCAATTTCATACACAGCACCGTTAAATATGCTGGCATAGGATAAGTAAGGCTTTTATTACATTTTAGCATGTACTAGAATCACAGAATATCCTGATTTGGAAGGGACCCACCAAAACCATCGAGTTCAACTTCTGGCTCCACACAGGACTACCTAAAAATCAAACCATATTTTCAAGTGTTGTCCAAACACTTCTTGAGCTCTAGAACTTCTAGACCCTTCATCATCTTTGTAGCTCTCCTTTGGACACTCTTTAATAGTTTTATGCCTTTCTTATATTGAGGCACCCAAAACCACACATAGTGTTTGAGATGAGGCCACACCAGCACTTAGCAGGGCTTCCCTTCCCTCAGCTGGCTAGCAATGCTCTGCTTCATGCACCTCAAGGTATAATTGGCCCTTTAGGCTGTCAGGGCACACTGTTGACTCACATTCAACTTACTGTTGGCCAGAACCCTCAGTGCCCTTTCTGTGGGGCTGCTCTTCACCCTCTCATCTCATAGGCTGTATGTATATCTGGGATTGCTCCATTCTAGGTGCAGAATCCAGCACTTGCTTTTCTTAAACTTCATATTGTTGCCCAGCCTTCTAATTTGTCAAGATCTCTCTGCAAGACCTCTCTACCCTCAAGGGAATCAACAGCTCCTCCCAGTTTAGTGCCATCTGCAAACCCGCTTAGTATACCTTGAAGTCTTGCATCTGAGAAATTTATGAAAACATTAAAGAGAACTGGACCTAAAATTGAGCCTTAGGTGATGTAACCCCATTTACTATAACCCTTTGAGCCTGACCTGTCAGCCAATTGTTTACTCATCACATTATGTTTTTGTCCAGCTGTATGCTGGATGTTTTGTCCAGAACAATACTGTGAGAAATAATATGGAAAGCTTTGCTGAAATTAAAAAGGATCACATCTACTGGATGCCCTCAGTCAACCAGATGGATAACCTCATGATACAAGGAAATTACGTTAGTTAAACATGACTTTCCCCTCACAAACCTGTATCTGCCATTAGCAGTGACTGTGTTGCCTTTCAAGTGTTTTTCAGTAATTCCCAGAATGATCTTTGCAATTTTACCAGGCACCAAAGCATAACTGACCAGCCTGCAATTTCTGGGGTCTTCCTTCTTGAAAACCGGGACAACATTTGTCAGCTTCCAGTCAGCTGGGACCTCTTCAGATTCCCAAGACCATTAAAAACTAATTGAGAGATCTCACAATGACATCAGCCAGTTCTTTTAGTACCCTGTAATGAATCCCTATAGGCCCCATAGACTTATGTGCGTTTAGCTTGAGCAGCAAATCCCACAGCATAGGTCAGAGTCTGCAGGGAGTTTCTGGCAGTCATGGTCCTCCAACTCAGGGTTCCGGAGTCCCAGGGCCCATCATTGGTGTCAAAGACAGACAAAGACGGCATTAAACATCTCTGCTTTGTCTATGTCCCTATTTGTGAGGTGATCAACCTTACTAAGTAATGGACCAATGTCATCTCTGTTTCTCCTTTTGCTAACACACTTAAACAACCCTTTTTTTGTTGTCCCCCACAGCACTGGCCAGTTTCAACTTTAATTGAGCTTTGTCTGCACAAATTTTCTCCCTACAATGGCAAACAGAATTTCTGTAGTCCTCCCATGTCACCTGACCTTGCTTCCAATGTCCACACTCTTTCCTTTTCTGCCTAAGCTCTAGAAAAAGATCCCTGCTCAGCCAAGCTAGCCTTGTGTCCCGCTTGCTTGATTTCTGACATTTTGGAATTGCCTGATCCTGCAACCTTAAGAGATTGCTCTTAAAAAGTGACCAGCACAGATGGACCCCAATACCTTCTAAAGCACAACCACATGGGACCTGACTAATAAGTTCCTTGAGTAGCCTGAAATCTGTTCTTTCCATATCTAGGGTCAAAGTTTTGCTGGAAGTTTTATCATCAAAGATTTGAAACTCAACTATTTCATTGCCACTGTGGCCAAGATGGCCACCACTTCACGCAAGACTCTCTCTGTTCACAGGCCACCAATCCTAGTCTGCTTCCTGGTATCTGCTCTGAGAAGTTACCATCAATGTGCCACAGGAATTTCCTGGACCTGTTTGTATCAGTTGTGTGGTATTCTCAGTTAATGTCTGGCAAGTTGAAGTTACCCATAAGGATAACTGATCATAAGGTAGCTGATCATAACTGATCATAACCTACCCATAAGGTAGCTGATCTAGAGTTCTCTCTTAATTCTTTATAAAATAACTGATCAGTATTGTCAACCTGGCTGGGTGGTTTATAGTAGACTCCCACAATGACATCCACTTTATTTGCTTGTCCCTTAATCCTTATCCAGAGGCTCTCAAGCGTGTCATTGCCAACTGTAAGCTCTGTACAACTGAGTCCCTTTGTTACATACAGTGCCACCCCTGTATCCCTCCTGAAGAGCCTTAAGAGTGCATCATAACACACCAGTCACACAACTCTTTCCACCAAGTCTTGGTTATGCTAATGATGTTATAGCTCTGGGACAGAGCTCCTCAACCTGCCCACCTCCTCAGAGAGCTCTGCCATTAGGCTGAGCAGTTTCTCTGCCTGGCCACACCTCCAACAGTTGTGCTCACGGCTGCCCTCAGACACTGACAGAAAACTTGGGCACACCCTGCAGCTTGAGACCTGGATGGCTGTTTCCTTGGGAGCTCTGTCTGGGTAGCTGTGCCAGATCCAGTGAGTGCAGAGGCCACAGGGGATGCAGAGGACATAGCTTTCTTCTTGGAGGATACCACTGCTAAAGCTCTTTGTGAGAGGATTATGATCATCAATTTAACTAACCATGTGGACTGGCAGAGTGACAATGCCCTTCCTGCATGCTCTTCCATGCAAACTGCTGTGCAAACTGCCACCCCATGCCTTGTTTGCCCCATGTTGGGGTTGCAGTGCTCCCTAGGGCTGCCTTCTGTAGATTTTGGAGTTTGCTCCTGGCCCCACCAAAGCCTCATCAGTTGCTTTCACAAGAATGATCGACCCCTTCTAGGAGAACAGTGTCTCCTTTTGACAGCTTGCCTTCATTCACCACACACTCCCCAATACACAGCGTGGCCCATGGGTCCCATCCTGTGGGTCTACTGAGGCACAGGATCAGTAGACGCTAACATCATTCTCCCATTACTGCATTTTCCTGAGGCTCAGTAGTAAGATTTCATAAAGATCTATTTAATCTCATTTTAACAAAATATTTTACCATAGTTCTGGCTCTGACCTCAGCATAATTTTTAAATAAGTAATTTTGTAAATTATACAGGAAGTTCTCTATTTTATCAGTCTAAGATCTCTTTCACACACTCCCCCCCCCAAACCTTTTCTAAAGGAATCTTATATTTGATGCTGAACCAAAATCCCCGAGTTCTCTGCTAAACCAAAGAGTGGGTAGAAAAGAAGCAGCTGAAGCACATGTAGTTTCCTGCTGAAGAACCTCAGAACTGAACAGCAGGATTGCACAGGCAGCAGAAATGAAATTCACATTCATTGCACATTCTTTGGAGTGACTACAAAAGAGGCCATCTAGCCCAGTAGTCAGAATTAGTTTTACAGTATAAATATCTGTATCCATAAGACAGACTAATTTACTTCACACAAACTAGATGTAAATCAAAAAATTACACTGGGTTTGAAGACACAACAGGGAGAGGCAGTAAGTTCTGTCTTCACCATCAAATCCCTGAGCATTTTTATTTGTAAGTCTATGCTTTCTGGTTATTCAAGAACACAGTCTACCACAGTATCAGAGCTGAATAACCATTAACAGGATGAGCTGTCCATCTGTAACAAGACCACATCCACAGCTAAGGATGTTATTGGGAAGATTACAACTCTTTTAGCGAGATTCAAATCATATTACCTATACTGTAGTTTTTTTACAGTAGTTGATATGTATTAAAAAAAAAACACACACACACACACACACGGGCAACCTTGTCTTTTGCTTTTGTGGGATTTCTTCATGAACTGTGATTGCCTGCACCCTCCTCCTCTGACCATCCTCATAAGCTCACTGCTGGTCCCATTGGAAAGAACTGGCTTCACGCACATTTTTGATGCAAACATCTTACATGTTCTACTTGGATTTTGCAATAGGAAAAGAAAAAATAAAAAGAGTGTCTGTTTCAAACTGATATGATTAAGATGATACAAGTAACAAAATAACTGTCCCAGGAGCAAAAGTCCTTACAACTACTCAGCAGTTTCTACTGAAATCCCACCAGTCTTCTTATTTCTTGATAGATGGGGGTAGCCAGTTCTTTGGCTTTCTCTGCTCCAGCCTCTAAAACCTGTATCAGGTGGGCTTTGTCCTCCTGGAGTTTCTTGATTTCATTCCTGATTGGTGCAAATTTTTGAATAACTGACTCTGCTACCACCATTTTGTAGTGAGCAGTGTCAAGACCAACAGACTGGTGTAGCACTTCTTCTATGCTAAGTCCTGATACTGCAGAATGAATGGACACCAGATTAGAGACACCAGGACGATTGGCTGGGTCATAGGTCACCTCAGAGGTAAAGTCAGTCACAGCTTTGCGGAATTTCAGCACTATTTCATCAGGGCTGTCCACTATGTTAACAGTAGCTAACTTCTGTGTGTCTGACTTAGACATCTTCACCGTTGGATCTCTGAGGGATTTTATTTTCTTTGTTGTACCTTAAAAAAAAAAAAAAAAAAAGAAGGAACAATTATGCACATGCACAGACAATGGTTTCTTATGACAGTTGCTAAGAACACTGGTAGCTGTATGGTTAAACTCTGTTTGCCCATGCTTAAAAAAGAGTTGTGAGCACAATCATGTACCCTCCTATTTAGTCCTTATGGCCTCTCTGTCCTTCTACGTCAATTTTCACCTCCCCTAACTAAGTGAAAACCTAGCTTCACTTTTGCCCTACTCTCTAAGTGGAAACTTCTGCAGGGACACTGTCTAATATCTTCTGTGGCTACATGATAAACTATTTCAGTCTTTCACCACGAAACATGATTCATGGTATACACAAAAGTACCTCTAATTTAGAAAGTATTCACACCAATTGTCTTTAGACATCTAATACAACCAACTAAATTAACTGTGTACTCTTCATTGACTGATTATGTACTCAGTGTAAGGACAGGGTACAGTTCAGACTGCCCCAGAAAGGGGTCTATTCTGAATCACCTTTTGGAAGGTTCTGTCTCTTCCCTGCAAATTTGAAGGAACCTGGGTAATTAAGCTTCCTACAGTTAGTGAGTCTGAGTAACTCCCTAACTGCTCCATTATTCTAGGTCATGTCATTGGTTTGTGTATACCTGTGCACTTATTAAGGTATGCTTCTCATGAGGAAAGTGAAAAGTTTTTTTTTGTTTTGTTTTGTTTTCTCTTTACAGTTTGAGCTTTTGCCATACTGTTAAACAGTCTCCCCCTGTGCCATAGGCTACATTCACCTCCTCATTACAGTGCTTACTGTTTAGTTGTTCATTAGAAACTACAGGGCTTGCAATAATCAGTATTCTTTAAACCCCACTCTAGGTCTAACACCATTTTTGTCACTGAGGCTTGAAAACTGAGAAAGGTTTATTACTGCCTGTCTTTTTTAAGGTGAGAGCTCCTTGCCCTTTTGGGGGCGAAGGTCTCTGCTGTGCATTCCTCTACATTACTTACAACAAAGATGCAATGCTTCTTCCTTGCCCAATTTTTCACGTTTCTTAACAAACATGCCATTTGCGCCATCTGACTCCCCCTCACCCCCCGGCCTATGACCTTGTAGCTCAAAATGGCTGAGAAGATTTTCCTTATAAGTCTCCCTTAGTCTAAGATCAAAAAACAGCAAGTCTAAGCTCTATAAAAGACCCTTACTGAAATATGCAAGTATAAATTAAACACAGTTGAGCACTTTTTGAACACCGTAGCAATAAACCTATGAGCTATTTAGCATGCTTAATGTAAATATTACCATTCAGAAACTACAGAATTCTGCTTGCTAGGGTTCTTATCTTGTTCTTTAAACATCTCCTGAACTAGCAATATGTAGGAGAGCCCCTAAAAGCATACATTTCTCTACCAAGGCCTTGTAAAGACTTATGTCCATTTTGGTAGTTCATTTTCATAGCCGCTAGTCTTTTGCTATCAGTTTTTCCCTTGTCAACCCTTTCAGCATCAGAGAATTCTCTTTTCCTGGTACCTGAAACTGTTCCCACAATATTTAAATCCATCTTCAGCCTTGAAGTGCAATTAAGGTGGTAAATAAATAAATAAATAAATAAATAAAACACCAAGACCAGCTCACTTAAAATGGCTTTGGGCACAGGAAAGAATTCTCCGTATTTCTTGTTGAAATGTTGTGCTATATCTTGGGCTAGTTCCAGGTGCAGGACTTGATCTTCTCCAACAGGAACATGTGTCGACCTTTTAATAAAAGACAGATACAGGAAATTCAGCAAAGCTCTGTGGTTCTGCTGAAATGTTACTCAAAACTGTCACAGCTCCTGCCATGACTAAGAGCCAGACTGAGCCAAACACACAGTCCCAGCTAGATATAGGTGCTGTGTGGACAAGATCCCAAACAGACTGCATCCCAGTGTGAATCTGCTTTCTGTGCTCAACGGAAGCACAATTCCAAGGGTAAAAATATTTTTTCACAAAAGCACATACAGTAAAGAAACCAGTAAGAGCAAATAATTAAACTCAGCTCAAAGAAAGGTTTTTGTCGTATCTCCTGCTGTCTCTTTAGAGATCAAAGAGCATGTGTTAGAGTGTGTGAACAAAGCAAGAAAGATCTGCAAGGCATAAAGTCCAACCTTGCCTTGTCAAATCTCAGGAAGACATAACTGTTGTTGAGAAGTTAGTACTATGAATTTACCAAGGGAAGGAAAGAAGAGAGTGGTTCTTCCTCATGGGTCATGATTTTATAAATATCACGTGGGCCAGCATTTCTACTACCACAAGTGTTATCTTTCCTAGATTAGGGCTGTTAGGATCAAAGGATCATTTGATCTTCTGATTTTCTGTACTGAGCTCCATAGCTTGAATGAAATTCTGGAGGAAAATATAATCTGCGTCTGAGGACATGAGGAGGTGAAGAATCCATTACTTCCCCTGGTGATTCTTTCCCACAGTTAATCATACTCACTAAAAATATATATGATTCTTTAGATGAGGCTGACTTGAAATTTTGCCAGCTTTTGATTACTCTTCCCTCCTCCAAGCAGATTTTTTTTTTCTAACGCTTGCAGGGTATTCAGCTCTGAATCCTGGATACGTTCCAGTGTAAGAAAGTTCACTACGCATCTTTCAAGTTCCCAGAAAAATTCAGTTCAACACGGTACTTCTTCCTTCCGATTCTGAATTACTGGGCAGACATCCAGGAATCAATTTGTCCACCTTTATCCCCCACCAAATAGTCAGCAAAGCAACCTAAAAACAGTTACAGTAGCCAATAGGAAATCACAGTGGCCTACAACTAACAGAAAGAAAATCAGTTACCATAATCAATATACTTTAAGCAGGTCAAAAGAAATGTTTCCATATGCCAAAATGGTTCCATATTCACAAAGTTTGCCACTAAACAGAAAACATATTGTTTTTATAAATGTCTCTGCATGATTCTTTGCCTTTTCCCTTGCTGCTTTTTTAATATTTCTGTCCTGTTGCTATTTTTATTCCTTTCTGTCATATATTTACCTTCTGTCCATTTTCCTTTTTCTTTGATCCTTGGTTCATCTGAATTAGTACTGTTTATCCCCTTCTCCTGTTCTTAATTCTTCTTCGTGACTGCTGTTCCCTTCCTGTGTTTCCATTTCTCCCTTATTCTTGTTCCCTATATTATGCTTTTACATTAAAACATTTCTTATTAAAAATACTATCCGAAACTTCTTCAAAGAGATATTGTTTCTCTTTCGCTTCCCTGTTTTGCGCTCTGTCTGGACAACCTGCTGTTAATACACATGGTAGCAAACAAAACACAGACTTCACTAAAGAATGATGAATCACATGATCTTATTAGAGATGGAAGAGGCATACATGGTTGAAATCAATCAATCAAACCAAGGTAATTTCTGATAATGTTGTCTACATTTCACCCTACAGTACTGCTTGACAACCAATTGGGTCTCAATATACAAAAGATTATTTTAATGTTCAAATTCTAATTCTTCCTTTTGCTTCCTTCCCATTATTTTTAGCTAAATTTCAAATTAATTAGAAATATCATCTACTGATCTTCCTATGTTACTGTCTTCCCCTACTAATGATTACTTAGGATTAAATTTCTCTAGATACGTTTTTCTGGTTAACAACTTGGAAATCTTAGTTATTTTGTCTTTATAGTTCTGCATATAACTTCAGTATTCCAGCAAATATTCACAACTTCACTTCAAAAAAAATCAAAGTACATACACTTGAAACATAAAAATAATTAATGCACAGTGAAATGCTTCTGACTTTTACTTATGGAGACAGTTTAAAACATATGAAATATAACCAGCCATGACAGTGTACAGCAAGCTTCAACAGCTAGGCTCTATAGAACTAGCACTGCATGAAATAAAGCATAACTACTTGAAAAAGAAAAGATATGTACAAATCTGTGTGAATATGTAATATCTACAATTAAAATCAGTGTGCTATAATTTCCCAAGAGTCATTCTGAGATTGACTGGCTTTGTTGTTGTTGTTGTTGTTTTTGTTTTGTTTTGTTTACAGTCATGTCTTTTGCTTTCAACCTAAGCTAGATTTCAACTGGCCACTGTAGAGGGAAAAAGCTGTCATCCATTTCCAATCTTCTGATCTAATCACACCCAGCTCCCCACTTAGTAAGTTAGCATGTTGACCTGATGAACATTCATTCATTTTAAAGCAGATGAACAGACATTGCCCATGGGCTCAGATTATGACTCTTACTTGTACAGCAAAATATCTGCTGCTTGAAGCACAGGGTAAGTCAACAAACCAACAGTTCCACCATTACTCTGGCTGGCACGCTTCATCTGTTTGGACAAGAAAAACAAAAAGAAAACACCTTTAGCTAACAATATCAAAGTCCATGAATTATAGCTCCAAGTAATTTGTGTGTTTCAGCCGTAGTGCTCATTCATCGTGTAACTCTATAGAAAAGTGTGTCATGTAAAATCTGCTCTTTGTGAATACATACATACCATTTTATGTTTGATATGAATTTTCCTACACTGTTCTAATATTGTAGTAGGAAGAGAATACAGGCTTATGCTTGCTTTCTGACCTACTAACCAAACGATTACAAACAGAAAACGGTCAGGTTGGTTATTACACTTCTTATGATAACCCCTACTTTTTAAATAACATTTTCAGCTGTACATTTTTGAAATACTTTATAGTGTAAATATAAAAAGGCATTAACCACCTGCATTTCAGTGACCAGAGATCAATATGCAGTGATCGCAGTCACCAGGAGGGTCAGTGACAACCCAGAACTACAGAGGCAGGGTCCAATGTTCCCTCCATTAGTTCACATTGCCCCACACAAACCAGCCTCTGTCCTGAAGTCTTTTACCACTCCAGGATATTGGTCATTGAAACCAAGATATTCCAGCTTAAGATACTCAGTATGTTATAGCAGCAGCACATCTACTTTTTGTTTTTAACCATAGTTAACTACACTAAAACTCTACAGCCTAAGTGATTTCAGTAAGACGAAAATATCTTTCATTTTTTCCTCACCCTATCACACAGATTCTCTCTTCATCCCCACAAAATCTACTCTGGAAAACCTAGCACCTGTAACACCCATCTGTAGATTTGGAAAGTCAATACAGTTAAAGTAGGACTTAAGAGTTTAACTTTAGAACCTCAGGTTTAAAAAGGTTGGCTTTAATCTATGCCACGCATTAACGCTGGTTGCTGTATTTAAGTTTTACTGTTTTTATTTAATTAAGAAGAAAAACAGGAAAAAAAGAAAACATCTGGAGGTATTTAGGATTGCTCTGAACTCTGCAAGCCGAACTGCTCTTAAGATTTTTTCCCCCTTTTTTGATACTTCTCTCTCCTGCCGTTTGGTTTTTCTGCCTACTAAATGCCAAATAAAATCCAAGGAAATTAAATGCAAGAATGCAGTTGATACAGTAATGCTGATACAGTACCAAGATTAAGATGAGCATGGAACTTGTAAAGGCAAACATTCAAGGTGCATTAACTTTATCATTTGGCACACTTTTAATATTTATAATTTCTATACTCCTCTCCCAGCAAATGTTTCTTTTGCATCCTCTTCTATAAAATCTACAGAACAGCCACCTCCCTTTATGGAACTCCTTAATAAGCAAGGCTTCCACTACAAAATCTTGTACTTTTCTGCATTATTAAACAAACATTGAAACAAGTCATTAAAAAAAAAAAAAATCAGTTTAATAAAACTAATTAAACTACTCTTCCATCTGGTACAGCTTTTGCTAATCTCTGCCAAAAATATTATCCTGTAGTTTCTAACAGGAACACATTCACTGATAGCAACAGACATGAAAATACACATTTTCCTCTTTCCACCATATGACTAGAGAATTGTTTAACCCAAAAGCAAGGATAACCAAGATACAGTTGGTACTTCACAGATAACAAATACTTCAAGGACAAAAATTCTACTGAATTCACACGCATTTCCTTTCAACTTATTAAACAGTTCATAAATACCTTCCATTGGGGCAAGCGTAGTAAACGTGGCACATTAGTTATGCACCCAAGAATCCAGGCAAGTTCTGCATGCTCAGGGACCTGGAAGTAAAAAGTCAGAATGTATTTTATTCTTCTGCATTTATACGTGTATTTTCTTGAAATCAAAATAGATAAACAATATCAAAGATTAGAAAATCATTTATTTTTGTCATTTTTTTCACTGAGGTCAGCAGTGACAAGCTAACTTAAAGGCTTAGGCCATGTCTGAGGGCAATCCAGGAAGCCCAGTAAGAAAACCAGGGCAGCAGGTACAGCACTGAGAACAGGTACACCATGACATAGCTCAGGTGAAGACCAGGGGCCACAGTCTGAGCTTAGGTGGAGACCCTGGGACAATGGGCAGAAGGTGCATGGGTGGAGGGCCCTGGTGAGGTTTGTCAGGGCTTTCAGTGCACCAACAGGCCTTAATTACACTGCCACTATCTGAGTAACAGGGATAACAGCAGAAGTTGTGTGTTGAACTTAGAGTATAGCCTGAATAGCACATTAATTTGCCCCTCAGTTCAGCAGTCCTATCAAAACTAATACTTATCTAGAGGTGGAAGAGAAGGATCAGGCCCTTTTAAAAGATGAGAGAGAAAGAAGACCCTTTGTAATCTTGTACAACAAAGTCTTCATTTAACCTTCTGGGCAAAATGTCACAACAGTGAAATTTTAATAGTTTCAGAAACATTAGACAGAGTGATATTCCTTTCTTCCTGCTAAGAGGAAGACATTCTACAGACCAAGACAAGAAACACGCTGTGCAGCAACCTATGCTGGATGAATCCACATTTAGATTTTTGATGTACATCCCTCAGTTTTTGCATTTTCAATATTAATTTCAGGATTTATAAAAAACAGGCAAGCTTTGCTGATGCATACTCTGTTCTTTAACATCTTTCTAGCCATTTTGATCTGCTGCTAGTTAGTTATAAGATAAAAAACAAAACAAAACAAAACAAAAACAAACAAACAAACAAAAAAACAACAAGGTGATCTGTATTCTGCTCCTTTGCTTCCAAATTTTATTCGCTCCTTTCAATATTGGCAGGTTTGGACATTTAAAAGCATGCTAACCATCTCGAAGGTGTTCAAAGCGTTATGCTCACAATATGATACAACCTCCCAGATGGAAGGCAGTAAGAAATGTTTGTTAACAAGTAAGAACTTGCATTGTTAATGACAATTCCTTTGTTGTCACGTTTTATATTAAGTCATTTCCTAGCTAACAGTCATTAGACTGTTTTGGTTGCCAATGCTGCATAAAGGTATCTGACCTCAAGGCAAAATCCCAGCGAGAGATATGAAGTATTTCTGGTTGATTTTTTTTTCCTCTCTCTCTTTTAATTTCCTCATGCTTATATGACTTGCTATTTTCTGTGCACAAGACAAAGTGCATCAAGATGCACCAAATGTATCTTCTGCAAGACACAAGGAGTAAACTGAGCTGCATAGAAAATACTAAGCCCAGACTCCTATTTCATCTATGAGGAATCACCATCTGGTTCAAAGTGGTTTCTCATTCCTTTCTTCTAGTCACGGATAGAGAGAAGATGGTGCTCTGTTGCACTTGTGTTGACAAGGACTCCCTTTAAAACTATGCAGTCATTGATCTGACTCTGTCAGACGTTGCTTCCACAGCCAAGACTGCATGTGTGTTTCATTGCATCAGGGGCTTTGACATTACATCAGTTACCAAAACACCAAGTGATCTAAACAGCATTTGTTGAGTTGATTCCACAGTTCTGGGTTCCTGCAAGCTATATTTCCTTCTAAACTTCAAAAGCAACCCAGTTCTTTCCTAAGCAAGTCTATAAGAGTTCTGAATACTGTGAAGAAAAAGACTGATGAAAAGGGGAGAAAATATAAAAGAATGCACAGTAGGGTAGAGATTTCAGCTAGAAAAAAATTATGTACTGGAGCCTAATGGGTTAACGTTCATCACCCAAATTGCAGTAACTGACTGTATGTTGGTCTGTGAATCCAGTGGTACTAGGCCTAAACCACAAATCATTTGTCAGACTAAATCACAGTTTAAGCTACTGTGTTTTACTTGGCAAGAGGGGCAGGTAATTGGTGCATTGGTCGGTCACTGTGCACCAGTTGAAATGTGATTACTCAAGCTACAGTACTCTACCACTTTGAGTTGTACAACTACAAAGTTGTATACAGATACAAAGAAACTGTAAGGTGATATGTATATGATATCAGTAAAACAAAGGCCCAGTCAACTCTGCCTTTCTGGCACTGAGCAATAGTAATAGATTGTCTCTTGGACAAGATCTGTTAGCCTCCTGCCTCCTCTCTCTCCCCACCACCACTCTGTTTAAAAATCTGACTGAAGGTCTGCATTAAGCAACCAAAACATAGGAACATTATGAAATATCATACTGGATCACAGCAGAGGTACCTGTAGCCAAGAACTCATTTCCAAGAGTGGAAACAAGAAATGCAATTTAGAGAGCACATGAGCCCATCACTTCCTGCAGTATCTTTCCCCTCATATTTCACCAGCATTCACAACAGTTGTACTAGGGAAAATCAGAAGCTATCATCTATGGCCTAGTCTCATTAGTATCCATGTTCCCCATGAATGGGCCTATTCCCTTCTTGAACCTGCTGGTACTACTCACTCCACAACCTCACACAGCAACAAGTCCCAGAGGTTCAAACCTGGTGGGTAAAATACTTTCATTTATCCACTAAATTCTTATTACTAGTTGTAAATGCCACCTACTTCTTGTATTGCACAATTCAACAATTCCACAAGACTTTATTGAGTTGTGACTGAGTTCAACACTGTGTAAGGGTTTCCAACACTTTTAGATAGATGCTTTACTTTGTATTTCAAGCTCTTCTGCCACCAGTGTGCCTACCTGATCTTGTTTTATGAATCCTCTTGGTGTTCTTTTCCCCCGCCATAGCATTTAACAACCCAAAAAGAGCTCAGCATTGCCCACAAACTTGGGGAATCCCTTTTCTTTGGGAAAGGGATTTTCTGGACTACTGTGGTGTTTGAGTGGTGCTACATATTTTATATTTTTAAAAATATACATATAAATGTTCGTTTTTTAAAATACTACCTACAAGATGGAGGTAGCTTTCACACTTTTTTTAATATATTTTTGACAATTGGACTTCGCTTTCAGCTAGCTCTCTTTCTTGAAATTGAGCATTTGTGTACTTTATTTCATTTGATCTCTCCAACTACAATGGTGGTTAGTACTGATAGGACTCCACTAAAACATCCTGATCTAAATAGGTCCTCTGCATCAACAAAAACAAACCGAGAATGGCATCATTTCTCATGGATTTTAAAACCAGGAAGTATCATCTGTTGCATCCAAAAATGTTACCAGTATGCCTTTGATAAAGCTTTTACACGGATAGTTGAAATGTAATAATACTGCTCCCTGTCCTAAATGTTCGGCTTCTCTAATCAATAATTGGAGGACTAATTGTCTAGTAAATCCTCTATTTATTGTTTCCCTGGCAGTGACGACTATTTTGCATTTTGTAGTTTTCACAAACAAGTCTAAGCAGATCCATACAGTGAATGCTGCTTTTTAGACAGCCCAAATCTCACCCTTTGCTTCTCTCTGTAAATACATTGTTTCCACCCATTTTCTGTTCTTCCCTCTTGCCCATTTTAATGCAGTTTTCCTTCCTAATCCTTTAAAAGTCTGTAAAACCCATCAACATTTCTCAAAGGGTCAAGATGGTCATCTCTCTGCTATTACCAGCAACACATTTCCTCCTTCAATTTCCATTGCATTACGCATCCCCCACGACTGGCTTGCTAATCACTACTCAAAGAGTTATTTCCAGAACAAATGACTGGCATTCCTTCCTCATGGCCCAACACACTCCATTCTGCAGTCAGGTTTTATTATTATTATTATTTATTATTTTTAAAACCACACTTTTAACAAAGGTTACCACTTACAAGTGGTAATGCATCATTAGCTAGAAGGTACAGAGATCTCCATTTCTTTGTTTGGCTAAGTACCTTGCTCCTTCCTCTTTACAAATAGCTTTTTAATTGTTCACTTGTGCAGCCATTCAACATTACTAAACTCAGATCACAATTTACACTTGGAACATCTCTGGAGTGCTACATGCTGAAGTACAACCTCAGAACTTCTCCCTGCAGATGTACTACTTAGCTCTTGACCCCAGCTATTCCCTACCAAGTTATTACTGCTATCCCCTGGCCACAGCCAGAGTTGATGACATGGAAAACCAATAGCTGCTTTGAGTCCAAGTAATTCTAGATGGCTTTTTATGCTGAAACATACAGCTGAGGAGAAGAGCAAGCTACGAGATTCAGGAACAGAGCAAAAGGCATGGATTCTGCACGCAGATAGGAAAGTAGGCAGCTTGGTAACAATGGTACTGAGCTTTCTGATGCTTATTACACAAAGTTTTGTGTCAGCAGCTGAAGAGGCTTCCTGCAAACAGGGATTCACTGTTTCATTTTGAAGATGGATTTCCTCAAGTTGCAACCTATGCCCTTCTTTATAAGGGACTTCAGACTTGCTGCATGTCTGCTATGTGGAAGCAGCTTCCCATCAGCAATGTAACCTCATTATGATCTACATGTTAAATGGGCACAAAGTTTCAAAGATTTGTTTTTGTCAGCGCAGAAGACAAATAAACAGGTCTGGAAAGATATTTTGTATAGTTGTGTACTAAAAAAGCGGGGACAGAAGACAGAACACTTCCTAAACTACAAAAGAGAGAAAACATTTTTGAGGATTTTCGTTTCATCTAGACATACCAGTTAGTGCTTCTAAGAAATTCAAGAGGCCTTTTATAACAAAGTTCTACCCACATTTGTTTTTCTACAAGAAATAAGATTTTATTAATGCCTAAGAATGCAAGCATTATGTTCAAGATGCTTGGTAATGCGTGTTTATATTATACAGTTAGAAAGAATAATGGAGCCATGAACAAGACAAATTAGACTGCTCTTGAATTAAATGCACATAGCAACTGAAGCACCCAGTGAGAAAGTTTTATGACAGAAAATTTAACATGACATCCCAAATTCCCAT